GTTTCCGAGGCAGTATCACTACGGAAGTAGGATTGCCCAACCTTCCTTCTGAGGAGTGGCTGGTGGGTTTGAACCGCCAGCCATCTGGTTAGCAGACAAGTGTCTTAGCCACTATGCTACCAGAGCCTCCCCTATAGTACTATTAGTTACTAGAATAGCTGATTCTTGCATTAAAAGGAAAATAATCAGACTTCAAATGGTTTTAGATATTGTAACTCTTTAATTAGAAGTTTCCATTGATAAACTTAGAAAAATTTTAAAGATTAACTAGAAAAATATATGAATTTTGAGTTATGACTTATAAAATAGACTAACATTAGATTTCTTATTAATCTTCCAAGGAAGAGTCTGTGACTTAACTAAATATGTTGTTGTGTGTATATTAATGACACACAGTCTGAGATTTTCCAAAATGTAGTTGCTGCTGAAGCAAGTGAAAAGCAATTAATGATGTTGCTTACGTACAACCAAACAACTCATGATAAGTTTACTTGATTAAAAGGTTAAGGGTCATAGTTTTGTGGAGTATTTCTGTCAATGGGCCTAATATTGTTCTTAGTGTCTCTGTTCTACATGTAGTGTCCTGGGTCTTAAAAACCCGCAAACAGCCATCCCAGACACAATAATTGGTCTCTATTTGTCCTTAGCAGAGGAGAAAAAGGAGAGCCAGGTGCAGGAGGAACTAGACTCCATGTCTGATCACTTCCATTAACAACTCCTTTGCCATGAGACTAGAAGAATATTGCATGGTGCCCAGCTATCATTACTAAATATTTTGATCAAAGATTCTATAGCAGAATCCTGATCGAAAGGGAGAAACTGAAGAACAGAATTTGTCATTCTCATGGAATCCAGATTTCTGGATTTCACGGAGGTTGAGATGATTCCACTAATGGTTTGGCTTAACTAATGGAGAATGTCTGCTATAAGCATTGTGCTTTTTTATAGAATTATCTATTTGCAGTTTCAACAACAGAAACTCCCACGGTCAACCTAGAGCTGTGTTTTAGGGTAAATCCGTAAGTACCTGAATTGTTCTTCAAAAGTATGTTGCATGTCCACGAGTTATTCTGGCTCTGCTTCCGTGGCAATGTATAATTATTAGTGATAAGCTGGAGTATCGAGTACCATCAAGTCGATTTAACTCACAGTGATTCTATAGAACAAGGTAGAACTGCCCTATAAGTTTTCCAAGGCTGTAATTTTTTATAGAAGTAGACTACCACATCTTTCTACCACAAAGTGGCTGGTGGATTCAAACTGCCCACCTTTTGGTTAGCAGCAGAGTTCTTTAACCATTATACCTCCAGGGCTCCATTAAGCTGGAGTATAAGAATCTGTAAAAGATTTCTCTTCCTTCTCTGGGACATTTTTTACTCTCAAGTTAGAAATACTACTACCTGATTTGCAAATTATATATTAAATAAACATCTATTTCTTTTATTGATTTAACAATCACAATGCTGCAATAATCACCTTTATGGAAAATACTTTTAGAAATCCAAGGAGGAGTCACTATGAATTGGAATCCACTCCACTGAAGTGAGTTTGGTGCTGTTTTTTTTTTTTTTTTTCCATATTGTGAACTATTGAATTTCCAGACATGTCTTTCCTAGGTTTCCTAAATATAGATTTTTGAGAATTGGATCTGTCTTAGTCCTGCTGTATTGTCCCATAATACTAGACCAGGGAAATGTTTAGTAGAAATCCAGCCAATTGTTTAGTAACTTTAACTGAACTGAAATTAACTTTGACAGCACACCAAACCAAACTCATTGTCATCGAGTTGAGTATGACTCAGCCACCCCCATTGGGCCTCTGATGCGGTAAATCTTTACGGAAATAGATTGCTCCACAGAGCAGCTGGTGGGTTTGAGCCACCAACCCTCTTGTTAATATAGTTATCTAAAAAAGAACAGAACTTACACTAACCAAGTTCTCATAAAGGAGCTTTGGTGACATAGTGGTTAAAGCATTCAGCTGCTAATCAAAAAAGGTTGGCAGTTGGAATCCACCAGCCACTCAGTGGGGGAAAGATGAGGCAGTCTGCTTCCCTACAGATTTACAGCCTCAGAAACCGTTTGGGGCAATTCTACTCTGTCCCATATGGTTGCTATGAGTTGAAATCCACTCAAGGCAGTAGGCTTGATTTTTTGAAAGTTCTCATGTGTGCAAACTAAAAATGTAAAGGAAAATTCTACCCTGACTGGAAGTTTCACCAAATCCGACTTTGGCCATATGTTTCTATTAAATTCCAGATCTGTTTTCTAAATTGCAAAATGACTCTTACCTGCAACAGAAGCAAAGGTAAATTTTCAGGTGTGTATTCCCTTCTTAGGCAGCTCTCTAGCTCCCTCTGCATGACGTCTGCCTGAACAACAAGGGGCTTTGACTCGGCCACCTGGACCCCAGAAATACCACAAGCAAACAGAAAGAAATAAGAAAACAAACTCATCAGTGCTTATGACAAAAAAATATGTACAGTGTCTGGTAGTTTGTACACAGAACATTTTTCTATTATATCCAAATTAGTTTCCAGGTGACTAATTTTAACATCCTAAATCAGGAAACTGTAAAATCTCAAATATCACAAACTTCAATCTTTCCAAGCAAACAGTGCCCTGCTCAGATTCATGAGTGAGCTGAGTATTTTGGTCTTGTAATCAGTCAATAAATTCAGCTGTTTGTTTGTAAAACAAACTTGTCCTGCTAAGAGTTTTCAACTATATATCAAAATCTAAGTTTTTGTTGTGTTGAAATATTCATAGCCCATTCTCCTACTCACCTGTAAGATTTTTTTCAGTGCCAGCTCCCTTTCTCTTCTAAAGTAAGAAATGTCCTTTGGTATCCGAACAGAGCTGCAAAAGATATATGCAAAGGAAGAGCTAGAAGCTGTAATAGATCCAGACCATAGGTAGGTCCTGATCCATCATGATTAATATGCAACTCTCCGCAACTGCTTGTTTCTGAATGACTGTTATCGTAGCATAGTGGATTGTTGAGGGTATGTAAAGACCACATGCATGTAAAGGTGCTTCTGTCTTGGTAAATCTCTCTTGTCACACCTCAATGCTTGCTAAACCTTTGCCTAGGCCAGTTTTGTCCCCTTTCTCTCCACATATAAGGAGTTCTGATAGCATAGTGGGTAAGGCACCTGGCTGCTCACCAGAAGGTCAATGGTTCAAACCCACTAGCTGCTCCATGGGAGGATGATGAGACAGTCTACTTCCGTAAAGATTTACAGCCTTGGAAACCCATTGGGGGTTAGTGAGTCGGAATCAACGCAATGGCAGTGGATTGGGTTCGGTTTTTCGGTCACCCCACCAGTGACCTTCTACCCCTGATTTACCTCCATACTTCCTACTCAAGAGCGCAGAGAGGGGCACATGCTGACAATGGTGGGAGTTTTTATTTCCCCCACTTGCATTCCCTCCAGTAGTTTATCTCTGTTGTTCTTTGCCCTTGAGTCATCTCTGACTCATAAGTGACCCCTTCTTTGGTTTCCGAGGCAGTATCACTACCGAAGTAGATTGCCCAATCTTCCTTTTGAGGAGTGGCTGGTGGGTTTGAGCCACCACTATTCTGGTTAGCAGTCCAGTGCCTTAGGTACTACGCTAGTAAGTGCTTATCAGGCATCTGTCTCAACCTTGATGACACATAAAACCAGTATCTTATAATTGAAACAAAATGTTTTTTATGTTTGTGTTCTTGCTGAATTACCTGGGTTAAAATGGCCCTTAAGAATCAAACATGAAATAGTTTGGAAATTATTTTAACCAAACTTTCTGCTTCAGGACAATTAAACTCTTTATACCCTAGGAAATACTTTTACAGCAGAAATGCCTGCTTAAACAGCCTCATGGACTCTTATCCAAGCTGAAAAGAGAGAGAGTTGTGTCCACAATGCGCTCTGAGACAAAAAGGCCCAACCACTAATGTAGGGCCCCAGTGGTAAAAGGCAGAACTCAGGGTCAAGAAGAGGGGAACTCTCCCTATTATTATAAAATACACCCAAAGGCTTGACAGCTTTGGGAACACCAGGGAACAACAATCCTGGTGCAGGAATCACTTTCTCAAGATGGGATTTTGCAGACATTGGTGAGGAGCCCACCACAGGTTGTTAGGGAATCCACAGGAGAGACCAACGAGAGTTTTTGAAGGGAATTGTAGCCAGTGAATTTTTGGTTAATAGTGTCACTATGACCCTATCAGTCTTGGGGTAAAAAATGAAAATACACTGTCATTTTGTATACGTGTCAGTCAGAAATTCGACACACCAGTAATCTTGTGGAAAGAGAACCTGGTAGACAGGCAGGAGCTCCACCAGCTATATGAGCCTAGGCAATTTATTTAACCACTTTGTGTCAAATTCCCTTATCTGATGGTGGAGGTAGTGCCTCTATTATCTCCTGACATCTTTGCTTAGAGGAAGAAAACAGGCAAGCTCCAAAAGCTACAAGGACCTTGAGAGTGAATATATTAATAATAAATGTAAGGTATAATTTCTGTGATTACTGGGTACCTGGTCCATAAGACTGTAGCCTTACGGAAGTGGAGAAGTGGAAACCAACCAGAAAGGAAATGCTTATCAAACAAGCAGTCAGAGAAATGGAAGAAACCCCATCCCTCCCCCTACCCTTCCTTGTTTCCTAATTCTTTGGCAGCCTGGGAGATGGGGCAGGGTCACAGGCCTAGCTAGCTCAACTGGCTCTCCCTCAGCTTATGTCCTTCCTCCCAGATAACCTCACAGGTTCTGTGAATGACCTAAAAGAAGTTGGTCAACATAAGTAGTGTGTATATCAATGCACAAAACTATATTCATTCATTTGCTCAGCAAGCATTGTTCATTCAACATGCATGCATTCATTTAGCAAGCACTAATGAAACATTTAAGCACTGTAAAGTCTTGGGTTTATGGGGGTAAAATGAAAGAAAGAATGTGAAGAATGAAGATGACCATGACAGTTGTCCTCCAGTTTTGAATTGATGTTTCGGTCTAGTGAGTAATGAGAACGCTGAGGTGACCATTTTCCATTTTCCTTTGGACTCCAGAACCTAGTACAGTGCCTGGCAATTAGTATTTATTGGATTAATACGCAGATTCCTTCAGGTGCAGTGTGTGGTAGATTGGGGAGTAGATAAGTTTGGGTACCCAGAGATTTTCTGTCACTCTGTTCCAAAAGGGGCTTCAGGAAGCCTGCCTTATCACAAGATGTAGTGACACATCACCGCTTGAGGCTCTGCCATTTCTTTGCCTGTTTGTTTGTGGTTTTCAAAATACTTTAACATGTATCATCTCATTTAGTCCTTATAACCTTATGAGGTAGGCAAGGTATATATATTTTAACCTAGTTTCTCAAATAAAGAAACCAAAATTTAGAGAAATTATGTGACTTGTGTAGTCCCCTACCTTTCTACTTCATCACACAATCCTTTTGTTGGTTTGTTTTTTATAGTGCTTTAGGTGCCAATTTACAGAGGAGAATTTGTTTTACATTCAATAGTTCATGTGCATTTGGTTTCACTCTCTGATTACCATCCCCAACCCTAACCCACTCTCCTCTTCTCCCTTCCTTGTGAGCCCCCCATCTTTGTGCCCTTCTTAGTTACACACTTCTGTCTTTCCAGCTTTCCCTCTGTGTGCATGCTGCCCCACTGGTGCCCCATGGTCCGTTGCTCCAAGGGGTGTTTCTCAGTGGGGTAGATGGGTGCATCACCCTGGGTTGGGTGGTCTATATGCACACAATCCTTGATTTGCTTTATAGACTCAAAGTCTTTAAATGCCAAATTATAAAACACAGTAAATCCTGGTTCTTCAGAATAATCTTTGGAATGAGGTACTAAGATAACCTGCTTACTGCTGCCTGTAAAACAAATATTGGTTCTTTTTAGATTCATCTTGGGAATGAGGTACTAATGCATCTACTTACTGCTTCTTCTTCTCCTGAACTTCCCTCCTCACCCCTCACCATCCCTAGTGGGTTTCCTCAACTACATAACCTAACATGGCCCTCGTGTTGCTCCTCTGGATTGGTTGTGGCAGTAACAGAAACAGAGGGATATGAACATTCTGGGCCCATGAATCTCGACACTTAGGGGCTGATCTGATTACCTTATTTCCCTGAGAAAACTGGATTATAATCATTGGCAGCGTATTCATAGAAGGGCTCCTGACAACATCTTTGGGCCAGGATTTATTACCAAGTACGAGTATTATTTCAGTTTTTTAATTTCTCATCAACATTCAAGGTCACATTCAATTAAAATATTACTGGGTGAAATGAGATCTCTTTTCAGTAAGCATAACTTGCATAATAACTTCTGGAACTTCAAGACAATGGCATTTGTGAATTCGTAAGTGCACTTTTCCATTTTCTTTGGTAAGACATTGCCTATATCTGCCTTGGCAATTCTAGAACATAGGTAAACCTTGGGAGCAGCTGTCAGGTTGTAAAGGAGTACTTGAAACTGCTATTGTATACCATTTATCTTAGCTTGATATAATGTCAACAGTCCAATAAAAAGAAGAGGGGAATTGATGGTGAGAATGGGGTGAGAATGGGGGTTGAAACCCCTGAGCCTCTTCGCCCTGCCACTATTTATTTACCTGTACACTCCATTAGTCCCTTCAAGAGCCCCCTGCTCTTCTATCTCAGACTTCAGTTCAGTCAATTGCACAGCCAGTTCCTTTTCCAACAGCTGGACCCTTTCTGTAGATGCGATCTTATAAATTTCATCCATGGTTTGAGTTTGTTGTGTTGCTGTATTTCTGAAGAAGAAGAACACAAAGCCTGTGACTGACTCCCTCAGTGACTGTTACCCGGTGTGTGGACTTTGTCTGTCTTTGCCCATGGGCAATGGATGCTTTTGCAGTTTAAAGAAACAACTGAACTAGATTGTTGTTGTTTTTTATTTAATTGCCATTTAGTAAGCAGTAGAGAAAAAGTAAGTTAGAATCTCCATTGACTATGCCCTTGTTCAGCTCAGATCACCTTCAGAAATGTCTCTGCTCCAGTTTTGGCCATGGGGTTTATTAAATGAGAATGCACCCGCCATCCATGTCCACAGGCTTCATAAAGGCTTGTTGGGAATTACACATTAAATACTATGAACATTGGTTATTGCTGGCTGGTCTTATATCAATGGGGACAAATAATGGCTGTGTATAGGATCTGTCTAGGAGCTCTGGTAGCATAGTGCCTAAGGCACTTGACTTCTAACCAGAAGGCTGGCGGTTCAAACCCACCAGTAACTCCTCAGAAGGAAGATGGAGCAATCTACTTCCGTAGTGATACTGCCTCGAAAACCCAAGGAGGGGTGGCTATGAGTCAGGTCCAACTCGATGGCACGTAACAATAACAACATAGGATCTGTCTAACATACTTAGAAGATTTCTCCATAAGGTTTTGTGAAGGCATGAGGTTGTGGCTAGGGAGAACATACTGAAGGTGGAAGCTATCTACATGATCAGGATCCAAGAACATTTGTGGTTAGAAAAAATTATGCTTACATATTTGGATGTGTTTTCTTAGTTTTGAATACCTACATTTGACATATTGAACTTACCAATAAATAAAAAACATTGATCATCCTTACCCCTCCTCTACCTGTTTGACCCCAAACCCACTGCCTTTGAGTTGATTCAGGCACATAGAGACACTATACAACAGAGTAGAACTGCCCTCAGGTGGTAAATCTTTACAGAAGCAGATTGCTACATCTTTCTCCAGTGGAATGGTTGGTAGGTTCAAAACACCAATCATTTGGTTAGCAGCCGAGAGCTTTAACCACTGCCCCACAAATAAGTTTTGACAGCCTTACCCTTAACCTGTTTGACAGCCTTTCAAAGTCAACTTATTGTTAGTGAAGTACTTAGTGTCTTTTTCTAATTAACAATGTAGATTAATTACATGACCTAGAAGTCCTAGGACCCATGCATTGCAGCAGATTCTGCGGAGAATGTGTAGCCTCTCCCTGGTTGGAACTCTACCAGACATGTTTGTCAGGCTACTGCTGTCCTGGACAGGTAGGGATAAAGTCACTCTTAGGCCACATTATTGTTTTTAACTACCACTGAGATGGCCCCCAACTCATGGCAACCCCATGCACAAGGAACGAGATGCTGCCCAGGCTGTCCTGCACCATCCTCGTGATCAGTTACAGATCGGACCAGTGTGACCCATGAGGTTTTCACTGGCTGATTTTTGGAAGCAGGCAGCCAAGCCTTTCTCCCCGGTCCATCTTAGTCTGGAAGCGCCACTGAAACCTGTTCAGCATCATAGCAAAATGCAAACCTCCATGAACAGAGGAGGGAGGCCAGCTACGAAGTACATTGTCCAGGAATCAAACCTGGGTTTCCTGCATGGAAAACAAAAGGCCACATTGGAAAGGTTTAAAATATTTCAATCTTTTTTTCCTTTGTCATTTCTACATGTGCATTTTTCCTGTCAGTGATATTTCATTTTCTCAAGTTCACCTGCTTTCATTTCAACAAATAATCAAGCTATAGCAATGTTTTGTGCACAGGCCTCCTTTGGGAGACTTTTTTTTTTTTTTTTTTTTTGACAACATTAAAAATGGAAATGAGCATACATGTTCAATCTAGGTTGTGGACCTGCTGAGTAATAAGTCTGTCATGTTTGGCCCACTGCTGGAATTCAATAAAGTGCACTGTTATTGCTCTTAGCAAAAGAAAAATGTTGTTATGAAAAATACTGGCTGCTTGGCAGTGTCCTTTTAGTTGGGCAAACAGTTCAACAGCTGCCTTAACAGCTGCATTCCAGCCGGCACCCATGAGCAGCGGCAGTAGAGACTGGATGGTTTGGTTTCCCGGAGGATGAACATTCTGCCTTCGTTTCCTGATCAAATTCAACACTTCACAGCTCAGAAACTAGAACATTTAATCCTACACCATTTAGCTTTCTATGTAGTCAAGTACAGTAACTAGAAAACTAACATAAGGTGAAGTCAGTCTTTGACAACTGTCCAAGAAATGGATCCAATCTAGAAAAATCCACGTCTGCTGAGCTCTTGGTCTAGCTTTAAAGAGACAATCAACTATCTGTTTATACCGGGGGACAGAGGGATTTCATTGACTGGACACCCACTGTGTACCAGGCCAGCACTGGGCCCTCATTTAAATCTCAGAAAATGGAAGTCTCATTTAAGTCTCAGAAATTGCATCAGTAGTGTCTTTTAAAAATAAGTACATCTGATTAACAACCTTTTTTTTTTTTTTTTGCAATGTGTTTAAAAAGTGTTAAAATTTAACCTTTCAGAGAAAGCTAATATGATTAATTTGAGTAGGGTTTGGGGGTACTCAGTGGATGGTTGAAATGACTCTGGATAAAGTTAAAGTAAGCATGTACCAAAGAAAACTACTCACTCTAGACTCCTAGAAGATGTATGTTGTTGTTGCTGTTGAGTAGATCCTGACTCATAATAAGCCCATGTGTGCAGAGTAGTGTTGCTCCACGAGGGTTGCAAGCTGTAACCTTTTGGAAATAGATTGCCAGGCTTACTTCCAGGGTGCCTCTGGAGGGAATTCAAACCACCAACCTTCCATCTAGTAGTCAAATGTTTAACGTTTGTATGTATAATGTATGTTAAAAATTTCAAAGTGTCTACTCAAAGAACAGAAATGTCATCAAGAGCTTTCCAAACAAGTCAGGTGAGGGGTAGGGTGAGGCTTTTAAAATCCAAAGGGAGATAGTAAAAGAGGAGGCAAGGAAACAAAGTATGGTAGAAATAAACTCAAATATGTCAGTAATTCTAATAAATAGAGGGGGCATTTGTGATTCTTGTGGCACAAGACTGGGCAGTGTTTCTCATTCTGTTGTGCATAGGGTTGTCATGAGACGGGCTAATTGGATAGCAGCTAACAACAACAGTAAATATAAATGGATTAAGCCCATTTATCGAAAGATACAGATCAGCACAATTTCAATCATTTTTAAATCTCCTAAAATTTGTAATGTTATATTTACCAAAATAAAACAGTGACTTTTATTCCAACAAATGCCAGAATTTAAACTGATAAGCAGAATAGTCTCATATTGGTTGATTGGTTGGTATGTGCTGTCGAGTCGGACCCAACTCATAGTGACCCCTCCTTGGGTTTCTGAGGCAGTATCACTACGGAAATAGATTGCCCAATCTTCCTTCCAAGGAGTGGCTGGTGGGTTTGAACCGCCAGCCTTCTGGTTAGCAGTCAAGTGCCTTAGGCACTATGCTACCAGTCCCATGTTACTATAAGGCAATTCAATCTTCTTCATGAAGATCTGTGTAGATAGATATACTATAACCTGCCTTGGGTAGCCATTTTTGGTGCTTGGTCATCTTGCTTACCAAAATATTCTTCCAGAGTTCAATTGAAATATTTCCTACTTTAAATTACATGAAATCTTCTGTATTAGTAGGGATAAAAGGCTAAGCTGTTTTATTAATCCTTTTAAAGAATCAACATTTAGTTTTATTGAGTTTTCTCTATTTTAAGTCTGCCTTCTCTTCTACTGATTTCTTTTCATATCTTTTATTACATGCTGCCTTCTACTATCTTAATTTTCTTTTTCTATCCTCTTGAGATGGAAGCTTAGATCAGTAATTTTTAACCTCTCTTCTAATATATGCATTTAAAGCTATACTTTTCTCTCTAAGCACAGTTTTAGCAACATCATACTAGTTTTGGATGTTATGTTTTTACTATTTATTTCAAATACTTCATAACTTCCATTGTGACTTCTGTTACCTATTTAGAAATGGTTCTATTTTTTTAATTATTACTTTCGAGTATGATTTCACTGTAGTGTGAGAACATACACTGTATGATTTCAAATTTAAAAAATATGTTAAGCTTGCTTTATGGCCCAATATATGATTTATTTTGGTAAATGTTCCACGTACAGTTGAAAAGAATGCGTATTCTATAGTTGTTGGGAATGATGTTCTGTCAATGTCAATTAGATCAAGTTAGTTAATCATGTTATTCATATATTCTATATAAACCACTCCCCAGTTATCAACATGGTTAGATTCCAAAGACCAGGTCATTGTGCAAAAATCAGCATTACACAAAAATGGAGGATGACCACATCATTACATAACTGCCAAAACACTGAGACTATTGGTGCAGCCAAGTTGACACAAAACCCTAACAATCACAGCCAGTGTTACTCTCTCCTTATACCTCAGTGTGCATTACTGCCAGATGTACAGAACTAATGTGCAAAATATATGGTAGTAGATTTTTTACTATTTTCATAAACATGAAATGATGAATAATGAGATAGTCAATAAGTGAAGACTAGGTATACTTCCTACTTTTTCAGTCCAATTCTTAATGAGTTACTGAGGTACGTATATTAAAATCTTCACCAGCTATTGTGGGTTTGTCCTCTCATTTATCATAGTCATAGACAAAACCTTCTGTGTTGTTTTTCATGTTTGGGTACTACAACAAGTTCATATCAATTAAGAAAAACCTTTTTTTTTCTTTTTTGTATTTACTAGAATGGAGGGCAGCCCTTGGATAACTGGAGCTGCTACCATCAGCCAATTAGCTTTTGGACTCTGCTTCCATTTGATCCCTCTGGGGTTAACATTATAAAATAGGGTTGTCAGTTCTCTTTTTACATAAGTTTTTTACACAGCACTTTTTTCCCTTCAAAAAAGGAAGGCAGAGCTTTTTATAGTAGTCCATTTATAATTATAAACATTTCTCCAAAGACATTCTCTCTCCCTCA